GAGCAAACAGCCAATGACGGCGCAACAGGGTAATGTGGTAGACGTGAGCAACGGCCAAATATGGTGCGAGTGATAGCAGCTCAGCCAAGCGATTGACAAGTGGACAAAACAAGACCAAGGCACACAGAAGCGAAAAGCAGAGACGTCGTCATAAGGGTGTGTTTGAATAATATAATGGCCTTCCGTCCTAAACACACAAGTCAGTTGAGCTTTGACTTATGTTTTTCTTGCACATGGGAGAATCGGAGAACCAGGCAAAGTACGGTATCATGCAGGGAACGGTGACAGACAGATGTACAACAGTTATGTAAGAAATTGAAGAACGATCAGCATTAAAAGGTGACTGGTGGCTTCGGCGATGGTTTTACAGATTAAAAATTCTATTTATACGAACAATACAATACTCAGTATCCTCGTAGTCACCTCTCGAGCAGAAAACGGAAGGACTAGAACCGCAGTGCCCTCACGTACGAGTTAAGTTCCCAGAAGGATTAAACGGTCATAATTGTTTTTCGGTATGTGCAGCAGCCGTCAGACCGAATGTAGATGTGAAGAATTTTCCTCGAAACTCAGTCCCAAGCCCGCCTTTGTCCGCCCAATAAATATACGTGACTGGGTTAACTGAACTTCGGTCACAACTGATCCTGTAGCGCCTGGAGCACCACCGTAGACCAACCGATTAAAAGACCATCATCATCATCATTCCACACGCCAGCAAAAGTGAGAAACACCTCAGATACCGCGCTCAGTTCCGATTCAAGTAGATGGCCGAAAAAAGGAAAATGATTAAAACCAATAACGGTGTGCTTTGTTTGCAATTAAATATCTCATATGAGAATGTGAGTAGAGAGGAAGCTGAGCAGGATTGGGAGGAAAAAACGCCACTGAGGTCGGCTTCTTACCGTGTCAATAAATGTCGCCAACCAAACAGGTTCATCTTATTTCGGACCCCAATTCAGAGGCCCGGAGACATCAACTGAGGCCAAGTAAGTGAAGGACTTCGTACCTCGACTGGCGTCCCCGCCCATTTTATTTCTAGACTCCGGTTGCGCATACGGTGTACGTCGAGGGAGTCAGCACGACAGTGTGAGCAACATGTGGTTCAACAATCGAAGCCAAGTGTGTGTGTGTGTGTAATAATGGTGGTGTGGGAGATGCAGTTACTGTTTCTGCGCAAAAAACAACACGCTAAATACGCTCACTGCTTACAGCCTACTACCCCCGGGTGTGCGCTAAACAGCGAAGGCACTGTTGGTCGAACGCAACTGGCATAAGTTAACGGGGGAGGGACCCATTTTTATAGCAGCCGGAACAGTTGACCATGACGCAGACCGAAGCTTATTAGCCAAACAATGAGAGTGGGTTGATGTTGACGCTTCACTTTGAACGCTGCCAATGAGGACTGTTTACCCCGAAGCCCGCCGTGAGCGCCAGGACTATTTCCTTATTACCTATTGTTTCGACCCTATTACTTGATTTGCTTACAATACTTGCCGAGTGTTCAATACAGCTTCCTGTGTGGCAGTGGCTTTCTAACCTGGAAAAGTCGGCCGGTCAGCTTACGCCGTAACAGCAGGGTATCCGTATAATCAGCGGAAAACACAACAGCTTCTTTGCATGCGTTGATCCGATAGGGCAGAGTTGGCAACTGTACACTAAAGGTGAATAAGCAACAGCACTGCAGACTATAATCAATAGGGTGAGGGTGATGTGGCGCCTGCACCATAAATGGTTATGATCAGCAAAAGCGTCGCGAACTCTTGACATACGATTTGTGACCCTATCTGTTCAACAGAGGCTGATACAACTTCCTGGGTAGTTGTATTGCTGAAGTACTTCCACATCATTCCCTTCAAGGGTTAGGGTAGAGAGTGGTCTTCTGCAGCCTCCGTGAGAAATACAACTGGAGACAATTAACAGCTAGCGCTAACCTGTCTAATGCTGCTTGGTGAGTATGTAAAACGTCACAAAGTATGGAAATATCGATTGGGAAATCCAAGTCGAGAAGTCGATAGGTTGGAAACAACTCACATACTTCAGATTGAGTCAGGTGGACGTAGTTGCTAGGATGTCGTCAATAGAGTAGTTGAAGAGGAAAGTGACATTGGACATCCTTGTCTTACACTGCTGGAGGTAGTGAATGGGCGTGACAGTTTGACATGGTTGGCGGCATCCGGTTTCGGATTTGCCTGTCACTGTGGCAAGCCACAGGACGCCTGCGCCTACAGAGGGACTATGGGTGGCTTCCGCTGCACCATCCACAGCTCCAACCACACACCCCATATCCAGTGTAAATCCGAAGGAATAAGACCGGGAGGCATGCGGATGGGAGCCACGTTTCATCAACGGAGCCGGCCCACACTTCTTCACAGGCAAACACAAGCACGCTGTATTTGGGAATCAACCGCACACAAGGCGGTGGCTGGACCGTAGTCCGCTCCATACTGAGTGCATGGAACCACTCTTCGAGCCTAACACGGCCACAAGGACCGTGCACCCCGTCCCCTCCAGCAACGACCAACTGTCTCCTGGAACCAGTATAGACGATGTAGTGGGTAATAGACAGGTAGGCACCTTGTCAACATGCACATCAAGCGCAGCCACACCGGGGATATCAGACAACAGCCAAACACTTGAGAGAGAAAGAAAGAAAAAAGAGAAAAACGAATAATGCATAAGGAAACGGTGACATAAACCTTAAGTTAATGAGCATATGTAATAAGTTGTTTACAAACGAATCCTAGATAAGTGCACGAGGTCAGAAAGTATAGTTTACGGAATACCTCGAACACAAAATGCTATGGAAATCGACCACTATTGGCTTAAGCGAAGTGTGCAAGTTAATGGGATAGAGTACAGGTAGACATTTATATGAGAAATAAAAGCATTCAAGCAAAATTGAAAACCCACCACCTGAAATAAAGAGACTTAGCATGCAAGCACGCGGTTAGTAAATCGAATGCAGCATGCCTACAAACGCTGCGCCGGTGCTGTCTACCTTCTCTGCAGTTTGACATAATCCCCCACAAAATAGTGATGTATGTCTTTTATCCTTTCAGCGACTTTATAGTAGCATTCTTTAGCGTTAGCGATTTTGCCGATCAGGTAGGTTAATCGACTTAGATTCCAGAAATGAAGTTCGGCGGACGCAACCGTCCAAGTCATTTCACAACAACAATAGACTTTGAACAAGCGCTACAAAAGACCAAGGAAACCAGCGGAAATGCTATGCTGTATATGGACAACACAGTCTATGGGTCTTAGTATGAAAGGTATGGTATGGTATGGTAATAAACAATAGGGCTACTACAGAATACCGGAGAGTTAGCCATTACGACGTGCAGAACACAAGCTGCAGACACTGCGCTGGCAGATCCATCAAGCTATGCTGGACGGCGCTCTTCCTCATCTTCAGAGCTATATATACCAGAATGATGCATGGTTATAGAAAGACAAACTCAGTTGTCTGGTCCTCCGGGTTGTGGTGAAAGCATTCTCTTAATGCGTAGAGTGGACTACTTGTAGCCCAATGCCAATCACCCGTTGCTTTGTGATCAGGTTTTTGAATCAGAGGCATTGACTACGAACCTTAATCGTTGTCCTGTCTAAGCATGGACAACTTGACATCATCCCGCCCACGCAAGAAAACGGGCTCTTTATATTCAATTTTTCGATGCTCTGGCCGCCGTAGAGGATAACCAACAATGGTGTGTTAACTGCCGCGTAGAGTGGGGACGATAAGTATGAGGTTACTACTGTTTAAACCCATTTGGCTTTTTGTTCCTTACTGCGTAAATAATAGGCTGGTTCAGTGCTTGTTACTGACATACAAACAGCTGAATCTCTCACTACCATTATTATGCACACTTGGCTCCAATTGCTCCGCCATGTGGTACATATACAAGCACGCCGGATCCCGCGACTCACACTATATGTACGACGGGGTTTAGATAGGAAAATAGGAGGGGAACCCAGCTGATGACTTGGTCAAGAAAAGGTGAGCTCTACTTTCGAATTTGGCCTCAGCTGATGTCTCCAGGCTCCCGACTTGGGGTCCGAAATACGATGAACATGTTTGGATGGAGATGCTTGTTGACATGGTAAATAGTCGACCTCTCTGATGCTTTTGTCCCACGTCATCTCACTCGGTCTCCCCTCCAATGGTAATCTTATACGAGATGCGTAATAACAATAATCATCATTATACACGTTAGCTGGAGGTGGAAGACATCTCAGCTATTGTGCCGCAATACTAAAGACAAGAAAAGAAAAACAGTGGCACGCTGGCTGAGTCCCCAGCAAAGGATGGACATCATTCCGGAGAGCTAACAGCTGGCTATCGTGCAGTGAAAAGAGAATCATATTATGCCTTACGAGTGAGATCGTGATTGGAGGGGGATGGACAAAGGAACTCACAACACAAACGCCATTGGGGCCGGCTCCAAGCCATATCAGCGAGTGTGTCCAACCAAACGTGTTCATCGTCCTTGGGACCCCAGCCAAGCAGCCAAGCAACACGTAGCCCAACCATCGGAGCCTGATGCGTGATATGATGGTGCTGAGCGGTTCCCTCGTTCTTCCTGCACCAAGTACGCGACGTCGAACACGCTCATTGCTCACACGATGTTCCCACCAGACATGAGCTAAGCTGCGAAGGCAACGATGATCGAATATGACGAACCTCTTTATGTCTGTCAAGCTGATGGGCCAGGTTACACAACCATATAAGAGCGTTGAACGGACGGCTGCGTTATCTCTGCCCTTCAGGGCGAGAATAATGTCGTGTCTGCGCCACAGGTGGCGGAGATTGGCAAAAGCACCTCGAGCATTTGCTGTACGGTTCGTAACCTCATCTTCGATCCCACGGGTGCTAATATAGCTGCCCAATAACAATAAAAACATTATTTCTGTTTTAAAAGCTAGCGGTTGTTCCTCACTCTAGGCTGCTGGACTTAGGCACTATTCATGTGTGGAAATTCAGTGCAGATTACGACACTTACTTTAAACCATTCTCACACAAGGAAAGGAGCCGATAAGTGTTTGATAAATGACCGCTCGAACGAAATCCATTTGAAGTGATGGACCAAAAGGATGGCCGGCACAGACATTGGAGTGGACTCTGATGAAGTACAAACAACAAAGATGCACATATCAAGCGAACTGAAACACAATGTAGTGTATTAATGAATGTTGGTGTACGATGAAACGAAAGTTGTTGCAGTTGTATTAAAACGCACAGGGTGATAGATCGTGGTTCTATAGGACCAAAAAAACAAATGTTCCTTAGGGATGGTTGTTAGCAGAATAGGCGACACAAAAAGGTCCAGCCTTACGAATGCTACGGCGATCCGAAAAGAATATTCACCCACCAACAGGCCTCTCAGCACTACATGAAAGAGAACAGTAGCACAGTAGCTGAGGTGTTCCCCACCTCTAACTAACGTGTATGATGATGATGATGATGACAGCAAAAACACAGAGGTAAAATTAATGAAGCAATATCTGATTTCAGAAGGGTTGGAAAACAGTTGGTTAATATTTATGGTTGGCTTTAGAAACGGACTGACGCTGACCTGGTTGAAATGGCGGCTCTGCACATTTAGGCCGATAAAGTATTAGAAAGTTCCATAAATGATCAATAATAGAGAATGAAGGAAGTTTTTTGTGATATTGCAAGGGAACTATTAACTAGACACTAGTGTGCGAGTGATGATAGACAAGGAGCATGTTTAACTCACTTCTTGGTATGAGCCATTTTCCTCCGCTCGATATACCACAACCACAGATGTAAGAGGAGCTTTGCATGATAATAAAAATGATAAGCTGTAATTGTGACTTGAGGAAGAAATTGCAAAGGTGAGATTGATTTCACTCGGAAACAAGTCGAAGATGCCCTGCAGAAAAGGTAACATAAGTGGTCATGGGCAGATAACACACCTTGTCCGGAAATTCCACTGAGAAAGTGACTATATATTGGAGTACGTTATTTGTCGCTTTTGTCCATCCTAAAAAGTAATGATCAGGGCGTGACGCAGTGACTCACCGAGGGAAATCAGAAGGAAAACATAAGGGATAATCCACATTTCGGCATCCCCACGATCGAACACAATAAGGAGTGAAATACGAGAAGTGAATCGATGTTTGACATCACACAAATGAAAAGAAAATCATAGGTATACAAGCAGATAAGCAGAAAGACAGAGCAGTACACAGTAGCCTGAGCAGATCCCACCCGTGTGTTCTGAAATTGCAACAGAGAAAGTTTTCATAGTGATATACTGGGGAAAACAGTTACCTCTATAAACGGGGCACATTTGGGTGATTAATATCCGAGATGGAAATCGGTCAAGTTAAGTAGAGATCGAGAGCGAAAACGGTAACAAAATTCTAGATATGCCACAAAGTTATCAGCAGTACGCCGGTATGTAGTACCGATGTTTCACTGCCGCGCAACCACCACCGGTCACATGTGGGCTAAAGATACTGCGAGGGTCGCCCGGTCCCCGTATGTATGTAATCTCAACAGTCTAGTAACTAGACATAGAGCCAAGAAAGCCATGGAAATCAGTGTATAAGAGACAGTCATTGCGTCATAATCGTCGTGGCATGCTAGCTGAAGGTGGGCAACACACTTCAGTTAGTATGCCGCAAGAAAATGGAATATTTTGACAAAAATACAGAACGAAACATTTTTAGTTTGTTTGTCACACGCTGATTTTTCTCTTTTTGTCATTTTCAATGTTTGTAGAATTAAACATGTGAATCAACACAACACTGTACACAATTCTTCCATTGATTCCGGTTGCGGGCCATGTCTTCAAGTGTCCTAAGCCATTGGCACTCGCCATCTTTGGGTCCCCATCCTGGAAGACGTACGGGTCCAACAGCGGCTAGACACGACGTCAGCGATTTCATGTGCTGCCGCCAAGTGGAAGGCTGACCACCACGCGGTCGCTTCCAGCCAGGTCCTTGACGAGCGAATAGAGCGCGACGCGATAGACGCTCAGGTGCCATGCGTAGGACATGACCGAGCCATCTTAACTGGCGCAACAAAACCAGTTTGTTGAAGGAAATACTTGCATTCCCCAAGACGCGACGTCGAACGTCATTACTGGTAACTCGATGTTGCCACCGAACACGAGCGATCCTCCTTAAGCAACCGTTATCGAACGCAGAAAGACGACGCATGTCTTCCACGCGAATCGGCCAGGACTCGCTCTCATACAACAATACTGAGCGAACGGACGCGCTGTAAACTCGGCCCTTTAGTGAGAATGAGACGTCGCGACGACGCCACAAGTGCCTCAGATTGACAAATGCTGATTGAGCTTTAGCGATACAAAGCGAAACTTCTTTGTTGATTGTGCCGTCAGCGGAAACACAGCTCCCAAGGTAGACGAAACTATCTACCTGTTCAAGTTGTGCACCTTGGAGAGTGAGCACGGGTGCAGGTGAAAGCCAATCCTTGAGCAGTACTTTACACTTCGATGGGGCGAAGCTCATGCCATACTTAGATGCTTCAACCGCCAAACGATCCAGAATGAGTTGCATACCCTGAGGATCGTCACCAAGTAAGGCGATATCATCAGCATAATCTAAGTCGGTCGCGCGCTCACCCGGTAGAAGCTCTAGGCCAAAATGTTGGAAACCTTCTAGGGCATTCGACAGAACGCCCGGTCCCTACGAAGGCTCGAACCCGTGCGCTCAGATCACAAGGCAGGCTTGTGATCCTTAAATGCCACAAAAAGCAAAACGTTGAGTATTTACAGTTCTTTAGTTAAGATGCTTTTGGTAGACGAAACTAACGGACAAGCAGATAACCAAAGTAGTGGCTTCGTGGAGATTATACATCGCAAAGAGACTGAGTTTCAACCTGATGCGACGACTTGGCTAACTCTCCAATCCACAGAATCACAGAAAAGTGCGACTTAGGTATCTTGATAGCTACTCCTAGGTAAGTGGTCACTGGCTAGACAAACCAAGTTTCTTATATCACTAGATAAAGGGCCAGCACAGAAGTGATCGTCTGTTCCGTGAAAGAAGCCTGTCTTATCGTTGTTTATCCTGTCTTATCGTTGTTCGGCTGCCCTGAGGTCTAACGTTCACATAAGGGCTTCGGGTGAGGACCATTTGCGTTCTCTTGTTTAAGTTTTGAAGCAACTGTATTACCTAAGGTGACAAACAACGACGACGTAACAAACGTTCGCAACATCCCGAATCGGCTACAGTACAAGTACGAAAAAGCTATCGTGTCTGCTGCATTTTGCAGTGACAAGGAAATATAGACAATCACTGACCCTATCCTCATTTATCCTTCAACCGTTTCTCTTACACCCCTCCCAATCCCTATTGCTAGCTTTCCTTTTGTATTCCGATGCGCAATTGAAGGAGTAGCCGCGTTTTTACTGAACTTCTGTCATTTGCACCGGTGTTCCAACAGCCTCCTACCATCAACAACCTTTATCGGGCCATGATTCATTGATGTGTAAAGAGCAGGAGGGGAGACCCTTGTCAGCCCCGTCGATTCCAATTTAGTGCAGGTTTGACGCAAATGGCTGCGAAGCGGTAATCCTCTGGGGATCGTCGCAGTTGCAGTAGGAGCAGCAGAGTCCTGCGGTACTCATCAGATGGCAGTCAAGCAGCCGTTTGAAACTTTCCTCTGTCGGTGCATCAGAAATGATCTCCGGTAGGCTGTTACAATCATTCATTACACGAATTGATAGGGCAGAGTCTGGACGGACGTGAAATATTCGGCTCTTGTACAACTGCCACTTGTGGCGTCTTGTTGAGCCGTTCATGTTGAGCCGAAAGTGCTTTTGTACCTCACCCCCAAGTTCTCCTCCTAGGATCTGTCTGGTGTAGATGAGATCTCCACCGCGCCGACAATAATCCATTAGGAACATGTTCAGCTTTCTGAGTCGAAGAGAGTAATCAAGACAACGAAGTTCCATGACGGATTTCGAGCAGCGCCTTTGAAATCTTTCTAGCAAGTTGCATTCCGATTTAAAGAGAGGATAGGTAGCTGGAAATCCATACTCTAATATCGGGCGGATATGTGATGTGAACAGAGTTCTGAAAATTGCCGGAGTGATACGGGAGAACGACTTGCGTAGAGCAACCAGCATCCTGTTTGCGTCCGCGACCTTTCTCAAGGTGTCTTGGGAAGTTTTAAGGTCATATGACACGATAACTCCCAGATCCTTCTCCTGCAGAATATTCTTGAGAAGGTATCCACCAATGTGGTATACCCCGAATGAATCCGGACTACCAATCGGAAGAACAGCACATTTGTCGTAGTTCATCATCATCATCATCATCAACAGAAGTACATCAGCCATTTGAACTGATGCTTCGCTGCCATACAACCATGAGGACCTATGAAATAAAGAATAAGAGGGAGAGAAGGGGGACTTACCTGAAAACCTTAATGCCCTAAGCAAACATTCAGGGTCAAGGCGCCTACACCTTGTGTAGACAACATTCCGTCACAAACAGATGGCTATCGTGCAAAGATAAGGCGGCATCGGCGAGACAGCTTCCTTGCGGCTTTCACTGCCACGCGTCATAATCAGCCATTACCCCGCAGATAACTCAGCACCAAACACACTTTAAACAGACAATCCGATTAGGAGACGGCAACAGACGCGCCACTGGTGTCGGTTGCGAGACATGTCCTGTAAAGTCTCGAGCCAAGCACAAGGTGGGTCACGTGGACTCCAACCCGGAAGGCGAGACGGACCAACGGCACCCAGTTTGGTCGTCAGTGACTTCATTTCCCGCTGCCAAGTCAACTTTTTGTCGTAGTTAACGGGTAGTTGCCACTTGACGGACTAACCGTGCAGCTGGTCCAGCGTCGATTGGAGTCTGCCCGCGTCCTCAAGACTAGCTACTTCTGAACATAGGTTGAGATCATCAGCGTAGACTAACCAGTCGGCTTGAAGAGCTGCAGGGAGGTCAATAATGTAGAGATTGAAAAGTTCCGGTCCAAGGACAGAGCTTTGAGGGACGCCGCTAGTCATAGACACAGCCAGACAGCGTTTGGTTCGCCTTCACTTGAAGAGTCCGACCTCTCAAAAAGTCCGAAACCCATGCAAGAACGTTCCCGGTGATGCCTGCTTTCACTGGCTATGTTTGGTTGGCGGCATCCGGTTACGGATTGACCTATGTTTACTGTTTATACTATAATGCGCATAAAATAAAGTTTGCACCAGCGCACAGTGTGTATACCACCGGTGCTGTTGTGTGCTACGCCCTAGAAACTAGAGTTCATAAACGCTGTTCACTTGGTTACCGAACCAAGTTCACCCGTCCTGTTTTCTCGTCACTGGTAGCACGTGATAGAATTGGCGGATGCATCAACCACATGTCATGATATAGCAAATATCTCCAAGTTATAAAGCTGAATTCTCGGGGTGGGAAATCATCTGTAGTCAGCGCCGCTGACAAATTTTGCTAAGGATAGTGTAAACTCAGCTCCATATACGGTTGGACCATAGTTGCTGCATGTGCGTCAATCCTGAGACTCCTAGAGAGGTCTAAAACAATAACCATATCACTCGGCAAAGCAGCCCCATTAAGCTGGTTGGGATTCTAGCTTCCTGGGATATAAATGTGCAAGTGGGCCGTCTATGTGCTTCATAATATCGGTTGGGTATTTTATGGCTTATTTCCGAGGGCGCGGAGATGCCTATCGGTTACTGCTACTGTGGGGTTATCAACTGCCTATAGGTAACACTTATCTCGGGCACAACGGTCACTGCGGTGCCATTCAATGTCCTACGGAACCTGGCCAGCGATGAATTAGAACTGACTATGTAGCCACGGATGTCATACGATCTAATTCCAAATCTGACTGCTGCTAAGTTTTAAACACGTGCGTCCATCATAGTTGTGTCCTGCTACACTATCAATTTTCATTAAATTTTACGGAGTATCTCTGGAAGCGATTTTTGTAGTAGCCGACAGGTAATTTGTACCGATCCATGGCAACACAAGCCCACTGATTCATCAGTGGCCAGGTTCCGGAGGACGTCGAATGGCACCGCTGTGACCGTTGTACCCGAAATAAGTGTTACTTATAGAC